TGGGAATTCTTGCCTCTTGGTACAGCTTTCGAGTGAGAGCGACTCAAAAGTTTACTAACCGCTGCACATAGACCACACCATTGTTTTGAAGAGATGAAATCTTAACCAGTATTTCTGTTAGATGCACGTTATGAATCACTACATTCTCGTACTGAAAAATGGTTTCAGTATGACTATATGATGTCTTTCAGGATATCATCAAATGTCGTTTCGAAGCACGAATATTGGTATCAGAATGTGGTACCCCACACGTAGCATAGTGAGTTCGGTTAGACCGTTGCTCGAAACATAAATCCACATAAATCCCCGATAGACCAAGCGTGGTATAGAGTCGGACGATAGCAAAGCTGTCCGCACCACCTATGTTGGGTGGAGGTGGCGGGGCTCGAACTCCGGACCACGGGGTCCGAAGCACGCCGGTGACAATGACTAAACCCCTACAACACCACCACCTTGGCGGTTCCGGTTGCCCATTTGGATGGAGTAAAGGAAACAGTTATATGCCGAAATAAACACCAAGCAGAAGATCGAGAATCCAGGTAGACTAACATTGCAAGGATATTGATAAAATGCGTGAACGCCACCAGGGCGTATGTAAACACGGGTTGCACTAACCCAAAAATTACCACCCAGGTAGCCTAACACGACCTAATATGATAGTCTGCTAATCAGGGTTTTCATACTCTCATGTCAGGTGGTGGGTTGAATGCATGCACCACTGATTTCATACCTTGGAATAATGACCAGAATTTAAGCAAATACCTATTATGAACTGCGTCAGCATATTAGAAAATGGCATCCAAATGATCAGTTGATGCCAAGTCGTTCATCTATTGAGTTCGACTGGGTCGTTGACTGAAAACGTAACGCATTTTATCGTTCATTTTTGATACCAGGTGTTTGACTCGCTCAAGTTTGTACGGAGCTGTTCTCTATCACGGAAGCCGTTTTTTTATTACGCACTTTCGTGTAGTGAACTCCATGGTAGACTGGGTGATACTCAAGGAAGNGATGTTAGATAAAGCTTTTCTCCACACGCTATATCTCACTGCGAAACTACCGTATCAATAACTGATCAGTTCATGGCGGTTTGACTTGGAAACAACTGGGACCACGGTTTGTTCAACTGGTCAGGTGAATGAAAAGGTTCTGGTGCGCACAAATAATGCCGTCATCGTAAAAAACACTCCAAGTTTCCAACGAGATTGTTCTTCAGAGTAAACCTAGCGTGTATTGTTTGACCACATGCCCGACAGTGATCTACGGCTGAGACTTGGTCCGTGCGTGCTGAAGACGAAAATCAACGAGAGATGCTTAAACACTGGCCCGTACATGGATCGTCAGATTTAACTAGCGTATCGAAGCATCAATCAGTTTCATATTTGGCACAGCTTCCGCAGCGAGAACGACTGCAACAGTTCAGTCACGTTCTGTGCCATCTAATTTGAATTTGAATTATTCGCTATGCGCATTTCTTAATTCCTCGCCTGCACGTCATCTGCTGGCCTCCCCGTGGCTTTCTCCAGCCTGTAACAGCCACTGCGAATAAGGCGCGCTGCGGTAGACCACAGACCGGTATACGCAAAAAACGTGTCCTAACCAACGGAGCCTATTGAGCTGCGATAGCGAGTTATTGTTTGATCCATTCCCAAACACCCGAAGACTTACTTCTAGGTTACTAGAGAGAGGGGGGCGTTCTTGGAATGACTTTGCTTCGGACACAGATAAACAACCTTTTCTCCTTACCTAGCCTGCTATCTTTCATGCCAGGCGTGGCAGCTCACCAAGATACAGTTCCTAACAAATGATTACGGCTACCGATACCCCAAGATTAGTCATGCTTTTCATCTCTCTCTCCTCGTAGGTACATCATCCACCACAACCGTTGGATTCCTTGTCACACTAGAAACTAGCAGTTCAGGAGTGACCAATGTGTGCCGAGGACAACTGCATAATGCACTCGCAATCAAAGGGAGTGGAAGGACAAGTGCATATGCAGAACGTAATATGTTCACATTTCAACAAAATCCACTCTCACCACCACCACAAGCACAGATTTTGGCAAGGAATACCTGTATGCTCTCAGTAGAGCGGATATCTGTTCCAATTAGTATTATAATTATTCGTGATAAAAAGTGTAAAATACTCGAAACAAACTGAAAGATCCACAGGAAACTCTTGTCCGACTTAGGAATATAAGCCAACACCATAGAAACAAAGCCGAGCATTGAGTTGTACTGGGCAGTAGATAACGCGTTTCAATGAAAATGGGAAATCAGCTTCAAAGAATAGGCAGGAACGTAAGTGCTTCACATCACATCTTCGTGACTGCGGGTTCCACCCCGTCTGCTGTTCGTTACACAAATGTCATGAAAACGGGGTATTAATTGGAGATAAGTGTCGTATTCGACGCACGGCTCCCTTATTCTTGGTCAGCGACTTTCTTGTGCACGAGGGTAAGTTGCCTTCACCGAAGAATTCATTCAGAATCTGGTTTTCTTTCATCCTCATTCGACAACTCATTCAAAAAGTACTTATTCTTGTCGATGGAGAAACCCGTTCAGTCGGATTCGACGGGATATTGATCGACCCGGTTTAAATGGCGATGTATGACGGTTGAAGCACCGATCCATTTGCAGGATTCCCAGTAGAATGTGATTGGTTGAAATTCCAATGGTTTCACCTGAAGTTTAAAGGCTTTAGTTGACCTGGTGTTCCGTGACGTGCTGGTTTTGGATTTGCTCTTCGGAAACAACCTCGATTTCCAAGGAAGCGAAACCCCGTTGGAACAGTAGCTTAGTAGCTGAAATGGTCTTCCTTCATGCACGTAGCGTTTGACCCATACGACAGACTATCGTACCATAGACAACCCATTCTAATTGCCTTTTCAACACTTCTCTATGGTTTACTCACCTCGACCGATTCACTAGTCAACAGAATAATCAGTGGTTTATTTCTAAGATAGTTTTGCACACGCTTATCCTCTGATCATTGATCATTTAAGCACGATAGGATGTTCGTTCCGTGAGACCCATTCCATTTTCCAGGTTACGGAGGTATATGAACCGCTTCACCACTTAAGGTATCACATGATAAATACCCCAATGTCTTTCAGCCTAAACAGGTTTACGTCTCCTTGGAGCATTGACTAGAAATAAAATCAAATTCAGATACTCTTATTAATCGGAACACATAGATAAATGAATCTTCGACACACCCAATTGTTCCGAGTTGGTACAAATTTCTAACCTGGATACATGCGTCATTGACGACAGTACGAAATAAGGGGTCATTAACTTGGTATTCTGTACTCTGTGAATAAGTTGTGGCAACAAACAAGCAGTCGCGAAAAAACAGCGGCGGCACTACCAGGGTGTGGTGGGTTTCAGGCTGGTTACCTAGCTTCTGTTTAAAGGCCGCATAAGCCCAATGGTGTCGTGACGAAGATCGATGACTGACCTTTTAAAACTTAACTCATTAACCCCCTCACTTCCGAAGCGAAGGATTACTTCCTGCTGCTTTGAAGTTAGCGCTTGGTTATGCAAAGGATAGAGGCGCGCCCTCAATATAAAAAGACGCCGAGTGACGGTGAGGACGTCTTTCGTACCAAACTCCCAAGGAACTTCATGACCATGTCTGGAGCCGGCTTAGCCTTTCGGAGGAGCCAGCCAAAGTAAACTAAACGTAAGTGATTCTGTAGTTCGAGTTCGGTCATGGTTACGTAGCGCATGGATACCCACCATTCCATGCTCATAGATCATTTCAACATGGCTTGTCATTAGCACAACCGTATGAGGAAACAACACGAAAATAAATCCGGATTGCTGGGAAATTAATGCGTGCTGCAATGACTATAATCATGACTAATTGTTCTGCTTGACTGAGAGGAACTACTGAGACCACTGCAACCTGGCAGTATCCAGCCGTCATGCAAATCCTGAAACATTTTTTCTTTTTTTAAAGATCATTGTGCTACGATTTGTTTGGCATAGACGTTTGTGAAATATATATA